TTGTAGAGAAATGTTTTCTCTACAAAACTGCCGTTTTAGAAAAATGTTGCAAATTGTTTTTATGAAAATACAAAACATTTATTGTGATTTTTTGAAAAATACGAAAAAATAACCGATGCACTCCTAGTTCGGCCAGACAAAGAAAACTTGAAACCCGAGCTCAGCTCGGTCCAACCAGCCTTAAAAGCTTTCTGCTTCAGCCCTACCCTGCCCGACCAAAAGCCCGGCCCATGCCTATATATGTGTACTGAATAGGTACACATCTATGTACTCCCATTCAGGTACACGTATTTTTTTGTATGAACGGAGAAAAGTATGTTTTTGCTATTCGAACTATAGAATCATGAGATATGCTTAGAAAAAAAATATTGAGAAAATCCAGAGCTATCCAATAGCAGTGGTATTTTTAAAATTTCGATGAACCTGTACTTTAGCCTTATTTATTATTCTACCGATTTTAAATGCGTCTAATGTGTTTAAAATTTTATTTCTGAAAGCGGACCATGCGATCTTCGCCGTTTTTAACTATCTGTTGGTGAATCGTACACTATGTAAAACGTTTCGAGCAAAACCCTCGTTAAACCATGGATTTTCAGAAATCTCGGTTTGCTGAGATACCTGAAAAAAATTTGTTTAGCATGACGTCTTTTGGCGAAAGAAGTTAATAGGTACAAAATGCATTCGTCAATGAGAGAACGCTATAAGTTATGGGACTGGGTTATACCAGTATTGTACCTTTACCTTTTGCGGATGTTTACTGATAATTGATTCTTCACGTGATGGTAAAGAAGCTGGTCACTAACGAAATCGTTGAAGTCTCGACCTTCTTTCTAATGTTTGTGCAGTTTCCTATGATTAGGGTTTTAGATCAATAGTACATCTTCTGACTCAAGTAAAAGGGCCTCGTTCAGCAGGCGAGGCATGTTCACTAATTCTTTGGAACCACAGATCCCTGATTCTTGAAACTTAAGAAGCGATCAGTTCAGTTCTACACGAGTCTAGACACTCAAAACCGTTATACTGGCTTGCCTGCGTAAATTTTTTTTCTGAATCCAACTTTTTCTTCTCCACATCCGTTTTTATCACGGTGGATGAGTCTCTCTTCTAGGATGATCATAGAAAGGTTTTTGCCTCTAAACTATTTTTATTATTAGTTTCGTTTCTTCTGTATCTACTCGTCTGTCATATATTCCTTTAATTAAATTTTAATTATCAATAAGTATGCCTCTTTATGTAAGAACAATCCTTTGTTCTAAAACATTTGAATATTTTACGAAAAATTTTCTTTTACTTACTTTCCAGATCATGCCGGGAAAACCGAAAAAAAGATATCTGCAAAAAGCATGCTATTCGAAAACTCGCTCACTCGTGAAATTATGGTCAGCTTCCGACAACTCATATGCGTATTCAAAATCGTGATGCACTCCTGTTTGATCTGGACGACGATGATGTCGATGCCGATTTACAGTTATATTTGCATGGAATAGCGAAACAACAACTGTTAGATGATTTGAATGGCAATTTGGACGATATCAATCAACATTACAATCTTCAAAATCGGACGGACATTGAATCCAGGTTTACAAAGATTCAGCAAGGAATTAAACAAGGCATACCACCATCATATTCAGCAGTAGCCAATAAAATGCCTTATAAATATGTAAAGCGATTAGTGAATAATGGTAATGATATTATAGATGCAACAACAAATTTCATAACTAACGTTAGAGAACGACAATCAAAAGCATTCTTCCAAGAAGCTGAAAACTTTTATAATAGTCTATCTAACATCTCTTCTGGTAGGTTTATAATGTATCTGAGGGAAATATGATTCGGTTAGCAGCGATAATGCCATAGGAATTTTTTTCTCATTTTTCGTGTTCTAATAAGTATTTGTTTTGTATTTATCTTTTAGGAATAATGAAATCGAGTGAAAACCAACGAAATCGGAAACTAACACCATCATTATCATTATCTCCAAAAACAACAATATTGCTGGGTTGTTCAACACAATCATCGGCAAAAGAAAAGAAATTAAATGCCAGTTTGGTTAGTTAGCTTTTTCATTTGTCCTACTGTTAAATACTATGAATCCTCTTTTAGTCGATTAAAGATCATGCAGCTGATAAGCGGGGGGGGGGGGGGGGGGGGGGGGGCGGGGGGGGCGGGGGCGGGCGGCGGCCAGGGGGGAGGNTCTGAAATTTAGAATGTCCTATGTTTCAATAAGTTTCATTTTTATTTATGTTTTCCAATTATTTATGTGTCCGATTCAGTTTGTGGTAACGTATACAAATGACAATCAGTGTTCATGGTAGAAAAGCTTCGAAGTATCACAGAAAAGAAATACTAAACAAGGCGAATTAGATAAAGTGTAATTTGATAAGTGCTGACAAAATGACTCTCTTTATTAGGAAAAACATGGATATTTATATATAACAGCAGACGAGAAAAGCAAAAGAACATATATACAAACGAGACGGAAGAAAGAAAGAGAATGATGAATATATAGACGAAT